GCTGGAGGCTGATTCCTGTTGTACTATTCACCTGTGTTCAGTGGTGAACACAGAAATTTTCCTGGAATGGAGCAACAGATTTCTTTCTTTCTTTGAAGCTGGTTTCTGGAGAACACAGAAGAAAGCACCTGCTTTTTCTGGGCTCCATTGGGGAGAGGTATCTGTTGGTCTTTGATCCCCCTGAAAATATGTCCTTTAATATAAAGGAGCATCTGTTTGCACTCATAATGTGCAGTAATTTGCACATTTCCAGTATATTAATCCCTGGGACATCAGAGGACAGATTAGGGTGAATGAGACCACCCAGCAGATGCTGCTAGGTAGCAGCTTCAGCCCTGACCCTGCTGGTTTACAGATGACCCCTCCATATCCTGGTGTCTGTTTTTCTGGTATGCCCAGGCTGCTGTGTGTTACATTCAGCAGTCACAAATGTAGGAGCTCTGAGTTTGTTCTTTTACCTTGGAAATAAACACGTTCACTTGGGCAACACGGTGGTTTGTAAGGCTAAGTGTGGTCAGGGCATGAGCTCACAGCTAGGCAGTCAGGTTTGGATTTTTTTTAGAAAATGTTGATGAGGTGAAGGGACTGTTGTAGGTTTAGTAGTGTGTAGTGTAGTATGCTGACCAAGAGACCTATTTGGTAGACTCATATTTTTCTGCCCACAAAAAAACCTACCAGGTAAACAGCTCAAAGGTTCTTGTGCTTCAGGAATCAGCAAAGTCCATGAAGCATGGATTCTTAGGTTATGCCTCTAAAACAACCTTCCGATTGTTGTCAAGATATGATAAGCACTGGCGGCATACACCCATCCCAGCTGAGCTCTACCACCAGCAAACGGGAGTGCAGCGTGAGCTGTACCAGTTGACAAGGCTCTCATACATGGTTTTGACTTGTTTTGTGATTTTTAATGCTAAGTATTTCACCGTTCGCCTGAAGGAAAACTGGCTGGTCTGAGGATGGAGACTTCGAGAGTAACTGGACAGTGTGTGTTGGATCCTCATTACACACACTGAATAGCAGAGTGATGAAAGAATCCATCATGTGGGATGTAGTTTAATGAAAAGTCAATACAGGGGGAAGCAGGGAAAGGAAGAAGCACTGTTTGTGTTTCATCAACAGCAAATTAACGTGTTTTATAGTTGCACCATTTTGGGTACAGCAACTATGGTATTCATCTGCACAACTGTTATATTGAGAAGGAAATTAGCATCTCTTGAGGGGGTAGAGAACAGCAAAAAATATTCCTCTGATGAAAGATCAGGTGCTTCTGTGACCCTCATTACAGTGTTGGATGTATTTATGCTAACAAGGGTCCAACAGTGCTAGAGGTTGGGTCCACCTGGCCTAATTTTAATCATCTGTAAGTCAGGTTATTTAAGTCTAGACAACTTCACTAGGCTTTGGCCACAGACAGTGAAGAGCACTTGCAGAAGGCAATTCCCATCACCTTAAAATAGGTATCTAAGAGGGTTGGAACGAATCACTCCTCTGTGGGTGCCGGTTTCCCTCCATTAACTATGGACAGACTATTCCGTCCAAGTCAGCCAAGCCTGGCTGAAACGAGGGCACATGAATCCTTATCCAGGGCCATTCAGAAAGCTGGATGCAGGGTGGAAATTTGAATCTAGACACCCTGAGTGCCAGGCTGAAGCTCAAATGATTGCTCCATCCCTCCTTTTCTAATCTGATAGGCAGGTAACTACTGAGCCCAGTGGAAGTTCTCCTATACAGATGAAGGCTTTCTGGTTTTGGCAGCTCTTCCCCTGGCATTCTTCTCCAGCAGTAAATCACAGAGAGGCTGAGACTGGAAGGACCTCTGGAGATCATCTCGTCCAACCCCCCTGCTCATGTGCATCTGTGTCATTCTCAGCCCTGATACAAAAGCTATTCTGTCTCTTGTAAAATCCAGAGATGCTGCCAAAAGTAACTTGAAAAAATTATTTTGGGGGAATAAAAAAAAAAGTGACAGCTGAGCTCAGCTGTGCCAGCAGACGCTAAGAGACAAGCTGTCCTGCTGCATTACAGAATGCATGGAAGGGCCAAGTGGCAAGAGACCGCTAGCGCTGCAGGACAGTATGGTCAGTCCTCTGCCCTTCTAGCTAGGACCAAGGCTCCTTGCCTTCCAGGGGCGTGCTGAAGGGCTCTTCCTGTTGCTTCATAGGTACTGGAGGAGGTGAATCAGGACCTGGAGAGATTTGGAAACCGTCTGCTAACCAAGATCAAACTTCTAGGATGGGAATGCGAGTTAAACCCCCCTGTGTTTCGGCAGTATGATGCCTGGGGGCAGCGGGTGGATCACATCATCACCTGCTCGGCCTGGAGGAGGATGAAAGAGATTGCAGCAGAAGAGGGGCTGATTGCTGAGGCCTATGAGAGAAGATACTCCAACTGGAGGTAACTGGGGGAGAATGGGAGTGAGTTGGTGCCTTGCTGGTTATTCTTAGCAGAGGTTTTTTGAACATCTTGTAGGACTTAACTTCTTGTTGTATAATGGGTAACAGATGATGCATGGACAAAAGCACACTTACTGCTGTACTGAACAGCAGTGTCTGTCTGCTGTAATGTTCCACATCAGCAATGATAAGCCATAACTAATGGCCTACAGCTGATCATAATATTCTTTTATGTCACCTTCCTGGTTCTGGGGCCTGGCAGTTCCCTGCACTGCTCCAGCTTTACGTGTGTTAGTTGTAACACAGCTGAAGGTCTGGGATTTTACTTGCAGTTTCATTGTATTGCAGCCTCTGGAGATAGACCCACATTTCTTATTTTGAAAAAGTGCACTTAATGTGCACCAGCTGGCAAGCAATGCCTTCCACCCAGCCTTATACTGGCAGTCCCTCTGGGACTAAGAAACTCTGCTGCTCCTCTTCTCTCTTCCTGGCTGAAACAGCTTTTGCCCTCTCAGAAATGAGTGGTCTGATTCTCACCTGTTTGGGCTGTATTTTGTTCCTCTCTTCCTAGTCAAGATGTTTTATCCTCCTGCTGCTGAACTGCTGCATAACCTGTGTGTTTTCACTCTCTTTCTTTCCTAGCCGTCTGCATCAGGCTGTCAAACTGTACTTATTTTCAAGCTTCTCTGGGGGTTTCAGCTGTCCACTGGCCATGACTGATGGGGCAGCCAAAGTCATTGAGGTATGAGCTCAGCTGGTCTCTGAGAGCACAGCCCATGTACTGGCAGCACTGGTTAGAGACTGGAGCACTGGCCAAGGACACAGGAGAGCTGATCTGCCATCTGGCTCTGGGCATGGCCCTTCCTTGCTCTGTGACTCAGCTCTGTCTCCCACTGCCTTCCTCCTTTAGTTAGAAAGCCTTTGTGCCCAGGCTTTTATGTTTACTTAAAACACTATGTACATTAAGGCCTTTGCTGCACATGAAACCCGGGGCACTGCAGGTAGTTGGAAAGGTGTCCCATATGTTTTTCCTATGAGATAGTTTGTTTTCCTGTTCCTTGTGTGGAGTGGCAGTTAAATGTATTTGACCAGATCCATACCTGATGTAAATTAACCAAGTTAGCAGGACTTTCCCAATCTGAAGATTTGGCTCTGCATCTTAGCAACACCCTTTGCACTATGACAGTGGCAATGTAGGATGCAGAGAAAAGCTATCCCTTAAGTAGCTAGCCCTGGGCATTTTAATTCAATAAAAAGAAAAAAAGCATAAGGCAGTTACCTCTTTCCTGCAGCTCTTTGGGTGCTGGTGACATCCAGCGTATATGAATATATGCTGATACCCTGACACGTGCTGTTTTGAAAGCTATCTGTCCAGATGTCTAGCAGTGCAGAAATCTGAGGGGGGTAGGGATGCTCAGCATTCTTCTTGACACACGTCTTGACACACATCTTCTTGACACCCTTCTTGACACACGTCTGCACCTTCTGTCTGCACAGTGCTCCAGCAGCCGTGTAGCTGGACAGTTTCACAGACTCTCAGTAGTACATGCAGATGTACTGCAGTGCAGGACACTCAGTGCCCCACTTGCCTGCTTGCAGACCGTCCATTCTGAGCCTAGGACACACCTGTGTTAGTTAAGGCAACTGTCTAATCTACTGTGTTATGATCGTCTTAGTTTCTTTTTCCTCCCCCAAAACAGTCACTAGGTATTCCTGGATCTCTGAAAAATGCTTTTGACCATCTGACATCCCGTGACCCCAAAATGTTCTGGACCTCTGGCCAGTGGATGACAGAGCGCAGGGGAGGCTCTGATGTTGGTATGTGTTCTGAGGTGGGAAGCAACTGCAGCAGCAGCTAGATGTGTTAGCGAGAACTGAGAAAATGAAGGGTGTGGGTTGCTTCCAAAACCGGGTAGCTGGTTTAGGAAACTTCAGCAGAAGTCATCCAAATCCTCTGCAGAGCTCTGCTTTTTAACCAGCAAAAGACCCAACTTCTGTCCACTGATACGTGCAGTACGCACACGCAGGTACAGAGCTGTGTTCCTTGCACAGTTAACACACTGATGTCTAGCTCTATAATCTAAACCTTGAGCAAGACAGCCAGAACCATCCCAGCTGGGACTGAGAAAGCATTCTTGGCCTTCAACTTTTATTCCTTGGCTAATGTTAGTAAAAGCATGATGGGCCAGGAAACCTCAGAACTCTGCTGTGGAGACAGAAATGTGGAAGAGGAGTCACCTGCATCTGATGAAGCTGCAGTTGTTTTCCTGGTGGAAGAAGTGAAAGGGTCAGCTGTGGAGTGAAAGCTGTGCATCATTGCAGGACTCCGGATTCCATAGCACCCTTTGTTGTTCTTGGGTCTGGTAGGTCCTACAGAAATGGAGGTGTTGGATTATATACCACAAAGCACTGCCGTTACCAGCTGATAGTCTGGAGCAGTTGCTGGAGAGGCTCGCAGTTAAACAGAGCATATTTCCTTTCTAGTACTTCACTCTGGCTGCATTTCTTATCCAGGGTCAATGAAAGAGATTAGCAGCTAATCCATATTCCATCTTGATAGCAAGATGTGACTTCAAAGAGCTGCTGCTTAAACCGAAAATCAGCATTGATTGATACAGAAGTTCCCATAAAGCCAAGATGATCTTTTCCTTTCTTGCAGCTAACGGCACCAAGACGGTGGCCAGAAAGCAGCCAGATGGTACATATCGTCTCTATGGTTTTAAATGGTTTACATCAGCTGCTGATTCTGATGTGACATTAACCTTGGCCAGGGTAGTGGATGCTGAAGGACAAGTAAAAGAGGTCTGTTTGATGGTGGAACCCGGTGAAGGAGCAGGGGCCTTCTTTTACGTCCTTGTTTTATTGTAATTAAATCCTCTTTGCATGCCTTTTTAATGGCCCTAGGGTTCCAGCGGCTTGTCCCTGTTCTTCCTGAAGGTTCGAGATGAGGATGGGAAGCTGAACAGCATCCAAGTGCAAAGGCTGAAAGACAAGTTGGGCACGCGGCAGATGGCAACAGCAGAGCTATGGCTAGATGGAGCTAAAGCAGAGCTGGTATGTAAAGTTTCGCCTTCCTCTTGGGACTGGGCTGACTTGGCATGGCAGACCACTCGTGGGGGTTTTGCCAGTGATACCAACTGAAAAAGTTCTTCTCTTCCACGTTTGTGGCTGGCTGTTCACTCCGCAGAACCCTTCATCAACACGGCTGTGTGTGGGACAGAGCTGATAAGAGCTCAGGAAAAGACAGGAGGGAAGAAAAAAAAAAAAGAAAGTAATTTTAAGCTTGTCGTTTCCCTAATCCAGTCGCATTGGCCCAGCTGAGGGACAGTTCTGTGTAGCATGCAGGTAGGAACAAGCAGCAGGGACCAGAACTGATCATGCTGACATGGTCTCCAAAACCACCTCTCTGCTCATGCCACAGACTTGGCTAAAATGAGACAGCCATATTTTAAAGCAAGCAGATCTTTGTGGCGCCTGAGGACAGACAGAGATGGAGTGGACAGCCTGTATCTATCTGCTTGTTGACATAAATTTCACTTAGATACGCATCAGCTTTCAAGGCTGTGCAAAAAGCTTACATCAGCCTTTGTTCCTTGATGCTTTCAGATCTCTGCAGAGGGTCGTGGAGTGGCCTCCATCTCCAACATGCTGAACATAACTCGGATCCACAATGTCATTGCTGCAGTAGCTTCCATGAGAAGGTGAAGGCAGCATGGATCCCCCAGAGCTGAAGGAGCAGCTTATCAGGACAAGGGGACTTTGCAATGCTCAGCATTGCAGCCGAGTGATATCTAATGCGTTTGCAGGCACAGGTCTGGAAGCCAGCACTGCTGGAGAAGGCTGCCATGTGTGTTGGTGACCTAGGCTGGTGTGCTGCAGCTGAGCAGGGTTCTTCCAGTGGGGGTGGCTGGAAGGGAAAGCTCAGAAGTGGAAGATTGCTGGTCTAACTGCTTTCCCTGGCTGTATTCTCTCTAGAATGATCAGTCTGAGCAGGGAGTACGCCCATAGGCGGGTTGCCTTTGGGAAGCTTCTCAAGGACCATCCCCTGCACATGCAGACGATAGCCCGGATGGAGGTAAGGCTTTTGGGAGCCGAGCTGAACCTGTTGGCGAGGAAAGAGGGCAGGGATCCTCAGCTGCTAATGAGCACAGCCAGCCTGCCTCTGTGTGCAAGTCAGATGTAGAAGGCTGTTCCTGCTACAGTGAGATGTATGCAGCAGGGGAATTGCCGTATTCTAGTGGGATTTGATCTGACAATAGGCCTAGCTTCTCTGCTGGACTTCAGGTTGTCCTAAACAACAGTTAACCTGGGAGCTATTCTGAGAGGAGTGCCAAAGTTCATGCATGCACCTACTGTGATATGCCATGACGTCTGAAGTTGGTCATTAGCATCAGAGTCCAAGCATGACACCAGTCTCCTAAACAGCGGTTAACAGACTCTTGTCCAAGACTGATACAGACGCATCCAACTTCCCTGATAGTTCATGCACCAGGAGATGGGCTGTTCTCACTGTTCCTAGCAGGCTTGAAGAATTCCTGAGGAGTCACCATGCACTTTAGCTTCCAAGACAAGCGTGTCTTCACTGTGTACCTGCACAGTGCTCACCACCACAAGACACCGAGCTTGAGTACAGCCTCTAGATGTGAATGTCATCTAAGGCAATATACAGATAATGGAAGAGAGAGCAGCATGAATTGGCACTCTGGCTCTGGGAGGAATTTCATGTGTGCGCCTTTGCTCACTGCAGAATGTCTCACAGCTTTGCCACAACGCTGAGCTGTAGCAGCTCACTAAATCCACAGGACACAGGTGGCTTTCCACCCCTAGTAAAACTTCAAAAAGAAGGCACACAGTTCTCCTCTCACCCATCCAGGCACTGATTTTCTTAAGTGGTGTAACACCAATGCTTGCCCTTGGCTGCAGTAGGTTCATGCAAATTTTTAAAACAGTATTTAAAAATCCTCTTGCAAGGTGAGAGAGAGGGAAAGTGGTCAGCTCTGTCAAACATAACTTAAAGCTCCAGCATCTCTTAGCCTTTGGCCAGAACTCCACCTCTGAAGCCACCTCTGAGCCAGGGAAGTTAGTTGCTTAGCAAGAAATCTGTCAAAGACCTTGCAGATCCTGGTGCTCAGAGGTTGACCATCAGATGTTTAGTCTCGTGTCCTTTACCCTTGGAAAGGATGTGGATTTGTGACCCGGATGGCTGGTAGAAGCTTTGATAAGGCTCTGAATAGGCCTGATAAAATGGCATTGCCCCTTCCTCATACTAGATTGCAGTGTCCAAGAGCGGCAGCTCCAGACTACCTTTAATATTTCATGCTTTGTGCCTTGACTGGTCAGTGGTCTTTGTCTCTGAAGCTGTGGGTCTGTACAGGCAGGGGTGGCATTTTGTCCAGGTCTTGAGTATTGCGCATCCCTTCGAGATGGTCTCAAGGCACCTCAGCAGACCAGGCTGGAATCAGCCTGAGTCAAAGATCCTTGCCAGTGAAGCTTCCCGCTTCTCTGCTTGCAGGTGCAGACACGAGGGGCGTTTCTTCTGCTTATGGAAATCGTTCGTCTGCTTGGACTTGTAGAAACCAACATGGCAAGTGAGCAAGACCAGCTTCTCTTGAGACTGCTGATACCAGTTGCCAAACTGTACACTGGAAAGCAGGTATGGAACAACCAGTTTAAGTAGCCCAGAGTGGGGCTGCGTGGCACATTAGCAACCACAGAGCTGGAAAGAGGAGTGATTAACATGGCCAACGTGAAGGGCAGCGATAGCAGGGGATTCCAGCAGTGACCTCTAGCAGCAATTGTTGCTCTGCACTGAGGCTGGACTTTGTGGGTAGGAGACTTGTCCCTTTGCTCTCAAGGCCACACACAGGTCAGCCATCTGATCAGAACAGACAGAGCCAGCACTGTCTGTGAAGTACTCCACATGCCAGAGGAATGCTGCTGAGGCTGCCCCGAGACCAAGATGGGGCACTGAGCAATGGGGAATCTCTTTCCCCTAGTTATGAATAAATAGAAGAGAAGGTGTTAATAGCTTAGCATTATCCTTAACTTGGGGGTCTGTCCCTCTTCTAATTGCCCTCAGCTTAAATATGCAGAAGCTTACACACCATACGCAAGTAGAAGGTAAAGACTCTGCTGGACTGGAGACATGTACTCCCATATAGCAAGCAAACCACAGGTTTATCCTTACCTAGAGAGGACTGTATTGAGACAGACTACCCCTGGATCTTCTCCCAAGGTCTGACTGCTCCTGCAGGTCCTCTCTCGGTGTCACTCAGTCTTCATTCCCCAGGCTGCTCCTCCTACATATAATGAGCAACCTGCCTCAGCAAATCAGTGGGATCCAGTCAGTCCCATCCCAGCAGGAACCGCTGTATGATGTTACAGGTTTCTGGCCGCTCTTTCCCCTTGTGCAAAGTGGATCATGTCAGCTCTCTGCATTTTGCAGGCTTCTGCTGTTGTTGTTGAGGCAATGGAGAGTTTTGGAGGACAAGGTTACATGGAGGATACAGGCTTGCCAGTCATAGTCCGCGATACTCTGGTAAGAAAGCAGCAGGATAAACAGAAGCAGCTCCTATGTGTCACCTAGTCCCCTGCACAGTACTCCATGGTTGCCTGCCAAAGATATGCTCAAGGGAAAACACGGTCCTCCCCAGACCCACTCCAGGCATTGCAGCTCTTTCCTAGTTGCCTTCCTTCTGAGCCCAGTCATCACCAGGGAAGGGGACGTGATTTGTTCCTGGTGCTGGGGTTGTTTCCTAGCTCTCATCACCACTGCTCCTTTCCACTTGTGGTGAGGCAAGACATCTCTGGAGATTTCCTTGATATCCCTTAGCTCTGCGCCATGTCTTTGTTTCCTCCCTTTATTTCAGTTGCTCCAGAAGGCTCCTTCATGCTCTTCCACAGTCTTTTCTACCCCACAGGTGTTGTCCATATGGGAGGGAACAACAAATATCCTGTCACTTGATGTCCTGCGATCCCTCACCAAGAGTCAAGGACAGGTGATGGCTGTGTTCTTCTCCACAGTGCAGGTGAGCCCACATCAAAAGCACTGGTCAGCCCGATTTTCCCACCCTGGTAGTCTTATTTGGTGTTTATGGTCCTAGCTGAGACTGGTAGGGAGTATGACCAAACTGAAAACTTTAGACAAGTATTCAGAAGGTGTCTTACAATTCTGCTCTTTAAATAGCACTTACAAAAGCAGAATGCAGGCAGTGCTCATTTTGGGATCCTTGTGTGCTGCAAAAAAATGCAGGTACTTTCATCTCAGCAGTGAAGAGTTTTGCATTGTGAGAATGACAGGTACCAATATAAGTATATTTTTAATGTGAGAGAGTCACCTTCCTGAATCCAAAATAATTTTGCAGTTTTGTTTCTTAACTAGAAAAACACCACAAGACTGCTGAATATTAAACCTTCACTAGGGCTACTTACTGCATTATGACTTCCTATTTTTATTCCCACTGAAAAGATGGAAAGAGCCAAAGGAATTCCATTGCTGCCTCTTTAGATTTACAGTTCTCTGGCTTTACCTACAGGCTGTTCTTTTAAAGGTGCTCAGATGACAGGCAGTCACGGAGAGTTCAAAGCAGCTCAGAATTTCATGAAGGTAAATGAGCATCAGCTGACTTGATATGTCCCATAAAGGGAGACAGGAACCAGCCTGAAAGGCTTGATCAGCATAGCAGAGGGTATCGTCTCAGAGATTAGACTATTAATCCAGATAGAACAATCCAGATTACATTAGCCCAGATACAGTGAGGGAATCCTGGCATCTGGAGTGCTGGATTTGACTATGCGTAGCTTTCACTTTCTCATCCTGACCCCATGAGAAGGGAAGGGTCTGGGTCACTGCACTCCCTGCAACATTGACAACTGGATAGGTCTTTCAAAAACACATGAGCAAGAGCCTGTCTCCTTCTCACCAGTGGCCGCAGTTGGCAACTTCTGTTACATTTCAAACCCCCAACTTGGCTGTATTCTGTACAGAGCACCTCTCTGACCTCCAGAGATGAGTGTCTTCCTACCATCCTCTCAGAAAACTTTTGATAAAGGAAAAATACCTCAAACAATTTGACTACCAAACAAGAAACCCAAATCTGCACACCTGCTAATTAAAAAGCCAGTGGGTCCAGCTGTTGATTAAAAGCAGCTTAGTCTGACACTGAAGGTAATCGAGTGGAGAAGGAAAGGAGCAGGTGGTAGGCTCTAAAAATAACTTGGAAAGAAGCTGGCCTCCACAGGCTTACACTTAGACTAATTTAAACGAATATCCCACAAAGGTGCCGTACTGCAGTCCTCAGAGCACCTCACTGGTGTAGCTGAGAGGGCCCCTCCAGCTTCTTAACAACTGCATAATCAGAGAAGCATTAAAGAACACAGCAATGTGATTCAGAGCAGGTACCTGCACAGCAGTAACACCAAGTATTGAGATTTATTAATTAACAAGCTCATCATTGCTCTTGCACTCCCACAAATCACGCTGTATATGAGACCGGAGGGTGAACAAGTGAGCACTGAGTTTAAAGGTCTCCAAATTCTGCTAAGTGCCGTTGCATTTACTGTTCATGTCACGCTGAGGCTGCCTCCGCATCCATGGAGCATGGCAATGGAGTGGCTGGAAAGGGCTGAGCTGGGAGAGCAGTGTTGATGCACTGATTCTGGATCTAATTGATCATACTTGGCAAATTCAACCTGGACAAGTCAGAAGGCTTTTCCCTTATGCCTTCAGCAGCTGGGCACTGGAAAGGCAGACTGAGAGGTACTTCTGCAGAGTGCCTCTGCAGCATCAGGCAGGAACCTGCTGAGTTTCTACACCAGAATCAGGGTTTCACTCACGGGTGATAAACAACCTCCTTTTGAGCTCCAGGTGTCCAAATTCTTTTGGTCTCTGGGAGTCTGGCTCATTTTGAAACATCCTTCCCATTCCCATCTAGTGAGGAAATGATTTAGCCCTTCATAAAGGGATTTTTACTGCTCCAATCCATTTCCTTTTTATTGATGCTCACAAAACTAGTACAATTGATTTTATGTTTGTCCATCAAGGTCTCAGTTTGCAGGATTTGTGCCCAATGACAGGCTGCTTTGGAGAAAGCAGCATTAGTACTTCGTTAGTACAGCATAGCACTTTTTGTTCTCTGAAGGTCATATCTCAGGATAACTTCCCCCTGACCCTGCTGCTACCTATTTTTGCTTTTATCTTGTGTCAGTTGCCTCTACTGATGGTGGGATACCTAATGCTGATGGTGGTGTGATTTAGGAGCAGGAACCCAATGTCGTAATTATCCTCAGGAAAAGGGAAGTACAGAGAACTTCCTCATCCTTGCACAATATGATTAGGAGAAGCTGAATTTTTAGGGTTCTTGATACACAGGCAAGTTTGTTACAAACCACCCTGTCCAGAGGTAATTAGTCTGCAAAGTCTCAGGAGAACACCTGGTGAGAAGAGCAAGTGTGAGAGACAGTCCTGGATTCCAGCTCAGCCGTGGTGGGAGTTTCAGGTGGATACTGCACGGGGGCGGTCATTTCAAGTTATACTAAAAATTTATTAGCTGGAATTTTGAGCCAGAGCATTGGGTCTACTTTTGAATTCAATTACAGTCTGAAAAGTGACTCTAAAATAGCACCAGGGAATTATTCGATTATTGCATTTTAGTCAGTTTAGGTTAAATTTGGTCTCATCACAGTACCGTTGTGTTTCTGACTGCCAGTCCTGCAAGCATCTTGCAGAGCTCAGAATCAACTCTCCTATACATCAAGAATGATTGTGTAGGGCTGAAACTCTAGCTGTAAATAGGACATACAGTCTAAGACATGTGATAGTGTTTTCAGGTCCTTTTCAGACCATAACCACAATTTTAACACAGCAGGAAATAAATCTAGGTTATTGAAGTGAGACTACATATTTGCTTGAAGCATTAATATGAGACTTGTGCTTCTAGCCCTGTTTTGGATGTTCTTCCTGTTGCTGTATTTTTAAATACTCATGATTAATCTTTTAAGTAAAAAACATTCTGACAATCTTGCTTGGTAGCTAGCAAGAGCAAACAAATGAGTGGCACCTTAAAATTCCTCAGTAAAAAATGAAGGAATCGGAAATATTGCATCTCAAGCTCTTTTGCTCTCTGATGATTTCAGTCAGAAAAGAACCATACAACTGGCGCAGTGATGCCATGTGCGTGTGCCTTCCCTCAGCTACACCCTACAGGAACTGGAGCAGATCAACATGCACGAGAGAAAGCAAGAGCTGCTTCTGCCTCCAGCATCGTCCCTGAAGCAGCTCTCCAGCCTCTTGCTCTCAAATGCAGGGGAGGATGTGGAAAAACCCAGCTTGATCTTTCAGAAGATTCAGTGCTTTTGGTTAGGAAAAGAATGAGTGCAATCTAAAAAAAAAAAAAAAAGTGTAAATTATTGCAGAGCAAGGAGAATACAATGTCTTTTTTTTTTCCCCTAAGGTTAAAATGATGCTTTTATATTCCTAATCCGTACTGCCCAGGTCTTTAAACCTTAAAAAGTAAGGCAGCGTAGGATGTAGCTGTTTGTACCCCAGCCATTAGCACAAGGGTGCTGACAGAAGCGCATATGTCATCTCTGTGCTCGGCCTGTGTGATGCTGGCTTCCACCCAAGCTGCTGGGAATATGTTTATGCCTTTGGGGTCTTTGATCCTTGTTAGCAACAAGCTCCAAGCTGCTTTTAAAACATCTTATTAGCATTCTGTGGGCTTGGAGGGTTCTTTGGACTTTATCTTGGCACTAGACTTAACCACTTTAATGATGATGTTTTTGTATTTGTACAGCATATGCTGTGAGTATTTATGTACTGCTTTGCCTAGAGCACAGAATAGCATCCATTGAGGATTGTGTTTTTCTTGTATTAACAGTCAGCAAATACAGGGCAATGGTTAGGCAGACGGTGTCATGCACAGATGTACTGCAGAAAACAAAACTGGGTTCAGTTTGTGCAGTCTGGAGTCCTACTGTGCAAATAAGCTGTATTTTCACATACTAGCAAGAAGGAATGCGTGATCACTGAAGCACTGAAAGCCTCAAAAACATAAAGAATTAGTTCTGTGCAGCAGATACTTACAGGCTTTATCTTCATAAATAACCCACAAATGAGACTAATTAGCAAAAAGCACCTCCTACCACCTGCTATGCTACTTAAATATGTAACAGTTCCTTTTTTGCAATTCTGTCTAAGGTAATCCTTTAGTTCTGCTGCAGAGACAGGTTTGAATCTTGTAAAGATGTTATCGCAGCACACGAGGCTCCTGGGCTGAGCCCAGCGATGAAAGCAGGGCCAGCCCTGAACGCAGGCAGCGCGGGCAGGTGCCGGGGGCAGCCAAAAGGTCGTGGCCTACTTTAGAATAGAATAGAATAATTAAGGTTGGAAAAGACCTCGAAGATGATCTAGTCCAACCATCAAACCAACACCACCGTGCCTACTAAGCATGCTACTACCACCATGCCTACTACTTTGCTGCAGCAGAGCCCAGCTGCAAGTGCTGCAGCAGGGGATGCAGGGTCTGAGGTCGCTGACGGCCGCGTGGGTGAGAGCTGGCTGCTTCTCTGCGTGTGTGACTTCAGAGGGACCAAGCTGTCACCCCAGCCTGGCAGCTCCATGCAGAAGGCATGCTCTTCTCACTTGATCCCTTGTAAGAGGAGATAACATGGGAAATGCAGATGAAAGGCTAGCTTCTGGCCGTTGCATCCAGGCAGCCATGGGCATGCCCTGTCAAAAGAGCAACTGTTTTAGACTCTCTCAGCAGACTATTGCGTGTGCTTTCACAAGAGGTTTGGGACACTGGAGAAACAGCAGCTTAGCTCAACCAGAGGCAGCATTTAGGTCGTGCTTTTAGGCACAGTTAAATGTCTGACATCCATCAGAAGGGAGCCGCTCTGGGCCTCGGGCCTTTCCCACTGACAAAACTTGCAGAGGAAAGCTCCTTTAAATCTGAGTTTTCCTGCCTGGGCACAGCTCTTGCATCTTTGTGGAAGAAAAAATACAGAACCGGGAGAATTAGAACCCGATACAGGTATGCAATTAGAGAGAATTGGGGATGTGACTGGTCCCCACATGCAGCTGGAAAGCCAGCAAGGAAACAGCAACATGCTGGGTTTGGCTGACAGGAATTCTCCATCCTCAAGGCAAGGCTGCAAGTTTCCTTTTGGCACCGTCCCCTTTCCTGCTGCCATGTGGTGCTCTGGCCGCTCCACCTATGGCAGTGCGAGTTACAGGCACCTTGATTTAAGCTTTTGTTAGTAGCTGCTGCGTGTGCTCAGGATTTCACCAGCCCCGTTTCCTTGCAGAAGGTAAATATACTGTAATTTTTCCTGTGATTGTTTTCTTTGCAGAAAAAACTGGAGCTGGCTTCGAGCACTGTGAAACTGGAACCTGCCGTGAAGCAAATGCGGGATGCCATCAGCAGTCTTGTGCAGTTCACACAAGCAGCTGGCTCAAAGGGGGCAGTGACCATGGAGCTAGCAGCAAGAGACTTCTCCTACACACTTGCAAGGATCTATGCAGGTAGTGGGAAAGACAGGAACGATGGACTTCAGACCAGGAAAGGGCTAGGAATCATTCCTAGAATGGCCTGGTTTCACACCTTCTGGGTAAAGGGTGGAGTTTTAAAGAAAACTTGTCCTCACCTTTCAAACTGAGGCAGCTCAGCCTGGCAAACGCTGTTGGGAAGTCACCACCACCCACTTTTCACCAGCCCTTGCTGTTTTGGCTGGAGCCTGGGAATACTGATGTCTCCTACTCTTCCACAGGAGCTCTTTTAATTGAACATGCAGCTCGGCCAGATGCTTCCTCCACAGATATTTCCGCTGCTCAAAGGTAACCAAAAACCTCCTCTAGCCCTAACTGTTTTATATGATTTCTTGTGCAATGCAGCAGGCTTTGCTCTGCCTCTCTTGAGCGATCTGATCCCCTGCCATGGTGAGACCCAAATTTTGTATCATCACAGGTGGAGACAAACAGCATTCTGGGTTGGTTGCTGTCAACATCATGGCTTTTCCCTGCCACGGGGAATCTCCGCTCTAGCAGTGATGGGAGGGATCCAAACTGGGCAGACCTCAAGTTGAAACCAGCACTGTCTGCGTAACGGGTCTCGGACAAACTGTTTGCATTCTCTGTTCAGGTGGTGCAACCAGGAGCTGTGCCCTGTGGCCCCAGAGTTAGAGAACAGCAGCTACGAGGCTGAGGAAGCGCTCATGGACAGCGCGCTGGTGTACGAGGGCAGCCCTGCCTGCGGCAGCAGGCTGTGACTGGCCAGAGGCAACTGGGAAGTCCAGCCCCCAGGGAAAACAGAAGGTGGGTTGCAATCCAAAAAAAAAATCCCCAAATCCTCAGACAGATGCAAATTACAGGTGTGGTGGGGACATTCCACCAGGGGCCAGAGCACATACTTCTGGAGTAACCCCCAACTGCACCACCTGCTCCAGCCTGAAATCCACTGCTTCTGCACTGAGTTACTTGCCAACGCAGAGACAGCCACTGAGATTCAGTCTGAGACGCTGAAATATTCTTACCGTGTTTTAGGCAAAATCTAAGTGATCAAATCCAGATAATGACTTGAAGCAGCAGCTCTTCAAGTGCCAACTGGTGTTCTTTTTAAAGAAAAGCAACCAAAATCAAACTGAAAATTATTTGAAGCTGATTAAATACAGAAAAACACCATTTTTCCCTGTTCACCTTCTTGCTTTCCAGTGCTATACACAGTCTTCCACCCTGGCACCTGCCAGGGATGGGACTGTCTTCCAGGCCAGCCTCTTATGCCCACCGCGGCTGCGAGGATGGTACGTACAGGCAACCTCCACGGGAGCTGTTGCGCTGGGCTTAGGAGCCCCCAGCTCAGCAGCTGATCTTGGCAATTCTTTGGGTAAAACAAAGGCTTTGTAACCCAAACTTTCCATTTTCCTAGCCAAGGCTATTGTTAAGCAAGGTAGTCACAGGGCACTGCTTAGTCTAGCTCGTGCTTTTGATTCTTCCTTCTACATTCTACCTTGTCTCAAAAAAAGCTTTGCTTTTACTTTAACCTGGAGAAGAGGCTTTACCTTCACGTGAATTGTTGGGTGCCTTATCCCTGCTAAAGCTGTTAACTTAACTCCACAGTTGGCTGAGATGGGCAAGAAAAACATTCTCAACCTGTTGCATTTCAAACACGGGATACAGTCAATTGCTATTTGCAGCTCCATAAATGGTCAGCAACAACATCAATACTGCTGTGCAAAGCTGTTCTGTAACAGCTTAGGGGAGGAGGTAATTTCAATTACCTCACTCAGATTACATCAAAACTGTACAAGTTGGTACCAAAATTAAAGAAAAAAATTACATTTTCTTAATTTTTCTTAAGAAAGGTTTTTTTACTCTCTTATGATCTCCAGAAGGCTTATTCATTCCCTATGCGCGTGTCCTAATGATGCTGCAATTCATACTGACATAAATTCTGACCTAAGTTTTAGATTGAAATCCAGTAATCCTCCACCAAAACAAACACCTAAATATCGATTACATGCTTCTCTTCACCCTCAGCCCATCAATCTGCCTGCTTGGTATTACCTGATGACTAAAAGTTTTTAATTAAAAAGCTGCTAATAAAAGAAGAAAAACAACAATAGAAGACAGACAGTTGGAACATATAGCTGCAAAGTACTACAGCAGCTAGGCTATTGAGTGGGATGAGAGGAAAGGAGCACTTTGCTGAGCACAAAGTTGTCCAGCATTTCGCGAGGCCAAAGCCCGCAGATCCAGGAGGACCCAAGCGACCAAACGCCTCCAGGGTGGAGCCAAGCAGTGTGGGGGTGCAGTCCCTATGGGACGCGGCAAAGGCGGCTCTGCGGGCTCGCTCACAGGGCTGAGCCAAGCGGAGCTTCCCTCAAATTGCACAAATACCGTTTAGCCAGACGCAGCACCGAAGGGCTCTCCACTGCAGCATTTCTCTGTGTCCGTTATATGTGCATTTAAGTGAATAAATAATACTTGGGTTTGAAAAATCTCCTACGTCCCTGCAGTTGGTGTCAAAGGTCTTACAGGTGTCAAAGCACAGAAACCTGTCGTGCTGCGTCAAAAACCGGGAGAATGGGAAAGTGAGAGAACAACACATGGCTCTAACCTAAACGATGATGGCAGCAAAGTCCATCACCACATTTGCCTGTGGGAAGGGCAAAGGGTCTGACAGCACGCAATGAATGCAACACAAAGCGAAAGTCATCATGTTAGAATTGTTTGCAGAGGTGCTGATACACCATGGGGATCCTCCATTGTCACTAAGTGCTTATCTCCAAAGCACGGGGCTGTGGCAAGCAGCGGTGCCTTCCACACTTGCTGCCCGTCTGGGATTTCAAATCAGAGAGATTTCACATCACCTCTTCCTATGTATTTTATGAATACATATCCTATGTTTTTTTGAACACCAGGATTATTTTTTCCTTATCTATGAGCTATAATTTGCCTAAAAATAAGTCCCACAAACTGGGACCGCCTGCAGATGCACCGATACAGAAAACACAAGGGACTGTAAAATTGTCACTGTGTAGGAAAATGACAAATTTATTAAGATCTAAATATCCACTCTGAGGCTACAGCAGAATAAATGCTGTTACAAACAAATAAGCACTAGGGTCTAACACTTTATACTGCTGCTAAACAGCCCTCTGCTGTCATAGGTTTGCATGTTTTAAAACACTTAATGTTCTTGAAGCAATTAATCAAGACTTCAGATATCATTTTAATACAAATTCCACCAAAAAAAATGTACAATCAAATGCATCACCTGTTGCCACTGCAAGGTAAAAATCATTTAATAACATAACTATGGGAAATCAGTTTAAAAAACATATTTGTTAAATAGTAACATAAAACTTTAGCAGCATTTAAAAAATTTGAAAGTCCGAAGAATATGGTAATCTTAAATCCCTAAATGCAACAATCCAAGCTCCAATACCTGTATTATGTGTGTAAAATGAAGGGATGGGAATTTGTTATTCCTCTGCCCAGGAAATGGCACGTCCATATGGCATAGGGACAGTAAGACAGACAAATGCTTGTACAGACGTGGCTGTATTAAAAGGTTACACTTCTCTTTCTGCATCCTTGCTCTAGTGCTGGTGGATTCCCTCTTTAACAAAAAACTGAGCTGAATTGTCAAAAAAGAAATTTCACACTGCCTGGGCTCATTCTGGGCTGCCTCCTCAGCTCTGCCCTGCTCTTCCAGCAGCACGTCTGTCTGTGAAGGTACTGAGCTGCCCCAGGAGAATCGCTGGTCTGGTTTTTATAGAAAAAAACACCAGGAGCAAACGCAGTGCCTGGCAGCGCAGACTGCACCGCTGTGCGGGCGCTGCACGAGCACAGGCTGCATCGCTCACCTTCCTCGCAACTCAGAAAAGAGCCTAAATTGCTGCTTTTGCTGTTTGACCAAGGAAGGTGATTCCATGGAACTCACGAGCCACTTCCGAGCGATGCCAGCAATGGAATCTGGCTGAGGGCAGCTCTAAGGACTACATAAAACCTGATCTGGATCCTGCACCTGAGCAAACATGAGAGCTGGCTTTCAGTCAGCACTGTGTGAGCATCTACCCCCAGCACAGCCCAGTGAAACACTGTCTTCTAACACACTCTGGACACCATTTTCTCAAAACCTTATGCTGAGTAATTCAGGATCTATTAGGGGGACAATTATAGACTAACCATAAAATACCTGCACACCCCTGTCTGTTAAATGAGCTCTGAATCTGCTCAGCTTTTCCGCACACGGTTTTGCAGCCTCGTAATAGCTCAAAACCTCTCCTAGTGCAGGCTCCGTCCCACGCCAACAGCCTTTCCTGCATAGTGGAGTTGTTCCTGACACCTTCTTCCCCTTCACCGCCAAAGAGCCTTTGGTTTTTCACCCTATGTGCTGCCGCCACCATACCTCACCCATACAATTAAGCTGTGATCAACTAACTGCTGCCCAGCCTGCAAGATCACTGCTGCTGAACGACTCCTGTGCCACCATGCTGCAGTACGTGTGCCACCTCCACTGGCAAGGAGAGGCTGGGCTTGCTGCTGCTGTCCTACCTGGGGACGAGAGGAGCAGTCCTCAAAGATTGTCTCGTTCCTCAGCCACTAATACTATTTGCAAGACTCCTGATAAACTGTACAAATTGCCTTTGCATAAGGAGATTGTTTTACAGCATGTAAGGCAGCACTAAAGCTGTGTATTGCGATAGTAGCACTGCTCTCCTTTCAGGCTCTTGTGCTGTTTGAGAGCTGTAACAAAAGAAAAGAGGAAACAATGTTCATTAGGAAGAACTGATCATCAAGACATGAGCTTCTACACAATGGCAGCCGTGTGCTCCTCTAGCAGAGCTGCCAGGCCATTGATGCCCCTGACGTGAAGCCCTTCTGCACAATAATGGCTTCGTGCTATGTGGAAGTTAAGAAGTTCTCTAACTCCCCTGACAGTGGCAGAGGAGACCTGCAGGGTTTCACTCAGTGTTTCTGAAGCAGAGAACATCCAAGCAGTGCAGTGCCCGGGCCTGGGAGCACCGGTGTCCACATAACATCTACAGCCACCACACTTAAAAGTAACTCAAGTATGAAAGGAGCTACACAAAATCAAATTCTGGTGTATAATTGAAAACCTGCTGTTCCTTTGCATGTTCTTAATAGTGCAAAACATTATATGTGCTTTTCTTTTTTATTCTTGAAGCCATAAATACTACCAGCAGCTGTGATCACTGCTCTGCCCACAATCTGTTTTATTTGATTAAATAAACACCATGAGATTATAAAGCAATTGTGCACAACGTCTTGCGATTAGAACTGGCCTGTCCCAAAATAACTCACAGTTGCTCAAGAAGCTCTTCAGTTGCCCTCAGCATTCAGGGCAAATCCTCTCTCTGGACTTCAAATATGTAAGAAAAGAAGTATGAGCTTATGTGATGGGAGTGCATGCAGCCAAGTGACTGAAATGAGCCAGCAGTCCTAGGAACATGAGAATAATCAGACCCTTGTGCAGGAGACTTTTGCAGGACAAACAGTAGTTGAGTTTTCCACCTTCTGGGAAAAGACTGAAAGATATTAAACCTGAGTGAGTTTGGTTTGTTCCCAAAGAGCCACGGCTCCACCATCCAGCATTGAGAATAAGGCAGAAAGTGTGCAAATGAGAACCGAGCTCTGATCTCCCCACCGCACTGCCGCAAGTGCTGGTGCTTGCTCGCTGCAGGGGGAAGGGAGACATCGAGCTTCCCTTTCCAAACGTCACTGAAAGGGGGGGTGAATTCCC